GTGTGCTGACATTGGGCCTGCTTATACTCAGGGCCTTGCCATGGCAGCAGCTTTGCAAGGAAAAACAGTTAAAGAAGTGTTGTTCCAACAACAAAAGAGAAATCCCAAAGGCAGGGTTCTGGGTCTGCCAGGGAGTTGTTTTAGATGTGGTGAAATAGGCCATCAGGTGTGGCAATGTCCCAATAAGACTCCTCCAGCCAATTCAAACAAGGCAGGGAAAGAAAATGGGCCTAGATTGTGTCCCAAATGCAAAAGAGGCAATCATTGGGCTAATGAGTGTAAATCTAAAAAGGATGCCATGGGAAATATTCTCCCGCAGGGAAACGGGAGGAGGGGCCCGCCCCAGGCCCCGCGACAATGTTATGGGGCACTTCAAACATTCGTTCCCCAGCAAGGAAATCCGTTCAGGACCTTTTCAGAGCAACCGCAGGTGGCATAGGACTGGACCTCAGTCCCTCCGCCTTCACAGTATTAACCCCAGAAATGGTCATGCAGGCTCTACCTACCGGAGTTTATGGGCCCTTACCATCAGGGATGATGGGATTGCTTTTAGGTCGAAGTAGCGCTACTATGAATGGTATTTTGGTTGTTCCTGGGGTCATAGATGGGGATTTCACTGGAGAAATTAAAATCATGACTCATTCACCTACTGGGATTTCTGTGATACAAGCAGAACAACGTATAACGCAGCTGCTGTTGCTCCCTCAAATACTAACAAATAAAGCAGCAAAAAGAGAAAAAAGAGGAGATGTTGGATTCGACTCTTTAGATGTTTATTGGTTATGGTCTATAGGAACCCAACGACCTGTGCTCACCCTGACCATTGATAGGAGAAATTTTCAGGGTCTACTGGACACTGGGGCTGACGTCTGAGTTCTAACTGCAGACCAATGGCCTACGGCGTGGCCTAAACAATCAACAATGACACAATTACAAGGAATAGGTCAAAGCCGAAGTACTGAACAGAGTAGTGATATGTTATTTTGGAAAGATGCCGAGGGTCATCAGGGTAGATTCCAGCCGTATATCGTGCCGGGGCTGCCAGTTAATTTATGGGGCAGAGATGTTATGAAAGAAATGGGGGTGTATTTATATAGTCCTAGTGAACAGGTCACCCACCGAATGTTTGAACTAGGGCTTTTACCTAATCAAGGCTTGGGAACTAAAGGTCAGGGGATACAGGAGCCTTTAATGCCGATCAAATGACCTCCAAAAACAGGCTTAGGGTGTTTTTAAAGGAGGCCACTGATCAGCCTGTACTCCACGCAGATCCCATTACTTGGAAAAGTGAGGAACCTGTGTGGGTGGATCAGTGGCCTCTCACCGAGGAAAAAATTAAAGCTGCTGAGCAGTTAGTACAGGAACAGCTCGATAGCGGACATGTAGCTCCTTCTAATTCTCCTTGGAACTCTCCTATCTTTGTCATTAAGAAAAAATCGGGGAAATGGAGATTATTACAAGATCTTAGAAAAGTCAATCAGAC